AAAAAATACAGTAGGCAATAAAGTATTAGTGAAACACCAATGTTTACAAATAAAGAAACCAGCAAACCACATGTATCTCTTACTCATAACATCTTAAAATATAGAGAAAAATTACACAATTCACACAGCTTACTTGAGGGAAGAAGAACTTGTATAGGTGTTCTCTCTGTCGATCTGCCCATGGGCCATAACTGAAATCTGTACCTTTGCCACATTTGATATCCAGTCCCCAACAAGGGCTAGTAAGCTGCTGTATTATATCTCCATTTGCTAACTCTACCATCTCAGGTTCTTGTGGAACTAAACCTGTAGTTCAGAAATGAAAATTTTATATATTATATACATGTTAAATAAATACCATCACGTTATACAAAAATGTAGGGTTACACATTTTTAGGGTATGGCCAAAGCGTGACAGTCATTAACCTTGTATTTTTGAGTAAAAAAAACAACAAACTGTTCTTAATAATTTTTGAGTTATTGAATAATTTGTTTTTTTGTAATTAATAACTATTTCCAACATAAACTTTGTATACATAAACTAAGACTAATCTGTTCAGCATTACACAACAATTGTGATCCAATTCAACCCTATTAGCAATTCTATTAAACCCTTGGATAGCACAAGCCATGATACAATTTTGATTACAATGAACATGAACCCATATCCAAGATTTTCAACTTATCCATAATTTGTACGATTCTCTTTATACAGTTCATAAATGTACTTCATTTTCAATTTGGTGATAATATTGATGAATAAAAACATGTTCCTTAAGAAGTTAGGTCTAAATTACAGGCTAATTTGTATTATCATCCTAGAATAAGAATTGATATATATTTTGGAAGATGAATAGAAAAATAAATTATGTGAAAAGGCCTAGTAAAGGAACTACTACTGAATCTGCCATATTTCAGACAGCCTGATAAGCAATGGTAGTGGGCTAATGGCCTCATACGCACAGGATATGGCAGATAGTGTAAGGTTTACATATTGTTATATGTTCTTATTTACTTTCACACATAAGTTCATGGTTAAGAATTCATAGAAATACTAAGTACTATATCAGAATATATATATATTTTTTACATAAGATAAATAGTCTTTTGAATATTTTTTTTTCTAGATTGCTTGTATATGAGTTAGTGTAATAGTCATGTGCTGGTACAGAACTATACAAGTTTTTCTAAGTGCTATCAAAGTTATAATTTTCCTATACTGAAAATGCATTTCCGATAGGAGATCCAACATGTGAAAACAGAGGGTTCTCTACCAGGTGCCACCTTGGTGATTGGTATAAGCCCAACTGTGGAATTGTCAGAATGGATCATTACCAGACAATGTTTGGCAATGGGAAGTGATCCAAAACCCGACAAATGGCTAGGAGCTCTAGGATGTTGATATTTAAAGATTGTTCATCTAGAGATCAACAACCTGAAGCCTCCAGGTGATGACCCCCACACCCCAGCCCTGAAGAGATGCATCCATAAACAGATGTAAGTTCAGACAAGGAGGAGGAAGCGGGACACCTGCCGATGTGCGAGTCTTATCCAATCACAAAAGAGATCGTGTACAAGGGAAGGAGGAGGGTGATGGGAGCATTCAAGGGATCCCAAGCAATGTTCCATTGATTGTGCAGACTCTACTGAAGAGAGCGCACATGTGCACAGCCAATGGGGATAAATGGTGTCACAAAAGACCACATCCCCTAAAGCAAAAGAACCTTGCATGCAGAAAGTGAGGGAACAGACAGGGCATGGCAAACTGACAATTCCATACAACAGAGTTTGAGAGGAGTGTTGAAAAAGACATCCAAATATACAAGGTATTGGGTAGGACTTAGGAAGGACTTCTACAATTTGATCAACCAGCCTACCCTAGCAGCTTTGAGAAGGAGCTGACACGTATGATAGGCTGAATCCTGTTTGGAATGGGCCAGAAGTAGCCAGTTGTCCATGTAAAAATGGAAATGCAACCCCAGAGCATGAAGATGAAAAGCAAAAGCTTGTACCACCCAACAGAAAACGTCCGGAGCCTAAGCCAGCCTGAAGGGTAGGGCACAAAATTGGTATACTACCCCTTGATAGACAAACTGAAGAAAAGGATGAGACTTTTTACGAGATGGGAATATGCAGATAGGCATTGGAGACGTTCATCTTGGTCATCCATAGACCTAGAGAAAAAACCCATTGAAGATTGCGGTAGGACTCCATGGTGAAGTGTGGGAGGTGAACAAAGCAATTGAGGTGGGACAGATCAATGACAGGCCTCCAGTCCCTGGTCTTTTTTGGGAACAACAAACAGAGTAAAACCCCAGTTAATGATGTGGAACAGTTTCTATAGCCTGGTGGGTGAGGAGGTCCTGTACTGCCTCTGATAGACAATCGCAAGTTACTGGATCTGGAAAAGAAGGGAAGGAAACAGGTACATGGGAAAAGGGAGGTGAGGCAAGAAACAGAATTTTGAATCCCTCTGACAAAACTTGGAGAACCCAAACATCTAAGATGAAAGGGTGCTACCAATGAACAAATGCCACAAAGCAAGTTCTCACTGGGCCCAGAACCAACCAGGTAGTTACTCGAACTGGAGGTGGCATAATCCTGCATCATCAAGAAAATGGCGAGCCATGACACCACATGAAGAAGGGACAGGTAAAGAATGGGAAGGATGGGAAACAGAAATAGGTGCCAAAGTTGGTTCTGACTGAGATAAATGGGAAACTAGATGGAAAATGGTAGATTGTTGCTGGGCAGATGCCACCCAAGACTCCAAGGATTCTGGGACCGTATCAAAGATGAAATGTCTTAAAGATGGAGTCATACACAACTCCCAGAGATAAGGAGCAGGTAAACGGGTTCAAGATAAAACAGCATCACGACTTAAAAGGTCCCAACAACAAAGATCTCAGATTTGTAAAGCCAGAGCCAAAAACAATAAATGAGCCAACATGGAAGTAAGGAGAGAGAGGGTGTTTTCAGAAAACCCTCAGGATTTCTGTGAAGAGCGTAAGACAGGAGATGGATCACGGAAAGGTACTACAAAAGGGTTGTGAGGGTAAGACAAAGGTGGGAAAACTGGGCATGGGTGAGACTAATGGGAGAATCGGGGCCCGACCTCCAAATGGGTAAAACTGAACCCAACAGCTGTTGGTCAAGATATGGACAGTCTCTCCTATGAAATGCAAGGAATGACTGATCCAAAGCCTGTGGGGGATGAGGTATACTAACACCTTCGTCCAACTGAAAGGCAATTGATTTGCATGAATACGAATGTCAGGAGATGGGGAGAAACACCAAATAGGGTTGGGAAGTATGTTAATGCATTAACAAAGGATGCGGGTCATAAGATATAGGAGCATACCTGAGAAAAAACTGTGGATGGCCGAACAGAATCCTCAGGGAGGGTATGGGAAGGCACGGCAAAATTAGCAGGTGGAAACAGGCGATCAAAATCCTCGTCAACCTGACCTTATTCCACAGGTTCAGGAGGAAGAGTCGCCAGCACCTGAAGCCTGTGGTAAAGTGCTCGTCAATTGTGTGACACCCAAAGTGTGGACATTAACTTCGGAATTCATGGTGATGTAGTAAAAAAAAGCATTTGAAGTAAATAAGAAATGCAACAAGAAAAAGGGAAAGTGAATTGAAATAATGTAAAAAAAAATGAGTATTTTAAATTTGTTGACATTAGCCTCAGAATTCATGGTGATGTAGTCGAAAAAAGTATTTGAAGTATATAAGAAATGCAACTACAAAAAGGGAAAGTGAATTGAAATAATGTAAAAAAAAATGAGTATTTTAAATTTGTTGACATTAGCCTCAGAATTCATGGTGATGTAGTCGAAAAAAGTATTTGAAGTATATAAGAAATGCAACTACAAAAAGGGAAAGTGAATTGAAATAATGTAAAAAAAAAAAAAACTACTGAGTATTTTAAATTAAATTAAACCACCTCGAGAAAATACAATCTCAAACATGAAACCAGACAAATAAAGAAATCACTGCAAAACGAGAAGTGATAGTTCGGTAGAGGTGCATAGAGGGAGTCATGTGTGTCACTTGAGTGTACTATGTTCCTATCATTGGATAGGTGACACATGATTATTTACATGAGAGACAAGTTGGAGCCATTTGATTCCAATAGGGGGTACAGAAGGATTGTTGCATGTATA